TGAAAGGGAAAGAAAAGCAGCCTAAAATTGTTTAAAACCCAGCTCAATGCAAAGTACAATCCACTGTCTCGAGAAGCATGAGTGGAAAGGGGAGACCATAGAGAAGTCTGTGTGCCGTACAAATGGCATCGGTGTGAACAGTCTGGCCTGGGTCAGAACTGAAGTACATCTTGGAGGTGGTACAGCGTGAATGGGATTTGGGCAAAGAACACAACTATTTAGAAGAGGCAAAGAAAGATGTAAGAAGATAAACAGCAGTGGTAGGAGCCTGAACCTCTGTCAGGACAGAATGTTTCAGCTGGAGTGAGGATGATGCACACAAGCAGTCTCCAGAGGACTGGGAGTGCACAGGGAATTACAGAGGGAGGGAGTCATCTCCGTGCATGAGGAATGCAGCAAAACCTCCTCTGACTAAGCCAGCTAATGCATGCTGCTGCTTCTTTTTTTTTCCCCTTTCCTGATAATCCTGTTCCATAATATTTCCTTAATAATTTAGTATGTAAGGAGTAGTCCTTTTAAAAAGCATCTAAATCACCAAGTCTTACTTTCAGATGAAACCTTGCCACCCTTGTCCTTGACACACACTGGGGACTCTTACTGGGTATTTGACTATTTCAGACGTACCTTGGAGTTGAGGTTGTTGTGTTTTTTCTCTTAATTACTTTATGAATTTACCATGTGGCACAACCCTTGGTACTGCCAAGCAACAGCTTTCTATTACTAGACTGTACGAGCCCGATCCTGCGTTACTGAAGCCAAGAGCAGTATTTGGGAACAGACGCTGGCATCAAAATCTGTAGGAAGGCTTAGAATAACTGTACAAAAGGGGTTAGTTGCACTGAGAATATTGATTCATGAGCTCCATGGTTTTCTGCATCTCTGTTCATTTTACCCAAGTAAGATCAACTGCCCAACTGGACGTATAATATATGATACTGCATTAGAACTAAGGCTGCATTTGGTCATGCTCATTAATTAAACTGATTTCTCCTGTAGTTTTTTTTTTTCCTAGAGAACTAACGGAGAATGATAATTAAGTATATTATGCATTCTAGGGAACGGTGTTTCTCCTACTGCCACAAAAACATTGAAGGAGAAAAACATGAACTAACACAGAAAATGAAAGGGAAAAAAAGATCTAAAATTGAAGTGGAAAAGGGGAAGCTTTCCTTCCTTTGCTTTTACCCGATTCCTCTGCGTTGGGATGTGTGGGGCAGCCTTGTTACAGTGGGAGAGTTGCACCAGTGAAAAATGGCACAAAGGCAATTGAAATCTCAAGGTGCAGCTTCCTCCCGGCTAGCATATAGGTGCAGACTGCAGTAATGCAGTACCCCAGTTTGTTTTTGTTGAGGGCCTTGCTTTTATCTGTGGCTGAGCCTTGCATGAGAAGGGCCCTGCTCTAGAAGGTCAGTATTGACTCCAGAGCTGGCCTGAACGGAGATGGCACAGGGTTTTGACGTTTACATGCCTTTGCTTGTAGCTGCTTTCCTCTTATCTGTAAGACCCTGGTTGCTCAGTGGGGATCTGGTGGAAGGAGCATCCTTGGCTGTATGTAGGTCCTTTGTTTTGCTTTACACAGAATCACAGGATCGTTAGGCTTGGAAGGGACCTCTGGAGATCATCTGGTCCAACCCCCTGCTAAGGCAGGGCCACCCAGAGCAGGTTACACAGGAACGTGTCCAGGCGGGTTCTCCACAGCCTCCCTGGGCAGCCTGTTCCTGTGCTCTGCCACCCTCAACATAAAGAAGTTCTTCCTCATGTTGAGGTAGGAACTCTTGTGTTGTAATTTATGGCCGTTGCTCCTCATCCGGTCACTGGATACCACTGAAAAGAATCTGGCACCATCCTACTGGCACCTGCCTTCGAGATACTTATATGCATTAATGAAATCCCCACTCAGTCTTGTTCAGACTAAACAGGCCCAGCTCCTGCAATCTGCTCTTATAAGAAAGATGCCTCAGACTCCTGAGCATCCTTATGGCCCTTGGCTGGACCCTCTCCAATAGCTCCTTGTTTTTCTTGTACTGAGGAGAGAGAACTCCAGATATGGTCTCACCAGGGTCAAGTAGAGGGTGAGGATGACCTCCTTCAACCTGCTGGCCACAATACTCCTAGTACACCCCACGATACTATTGGCTCTCCTGGCCACAAGTTACAGGTGATGGTGGGATCTTTATTTGCAAACAGTTGTGTGCTCTGGGGGCAGTACTGGGTATTTGCCTGCCAGCTCCTGCATGCACTGCAGCAAAAACATCCAGGGAGAAAATGAAGATGTGTTATACAATTACCCGATGAAATCTCAGTGTTAATGTGTACTGCAATTAGAAAGAAAAAGGCCAAGGATACAATTAGAAACGTAGGAAGCAGTTCACTGCCTCTTTACTTCAAAAACATGAGGGATGTCGATGTTCCAGCACACCAAATGTTGGTGCTCTTTCCTAATTAGCACACGTGTTGATAGGCAGAGATTACCTAAAAAGTCCAGAGCAGCTCTGGTGAACTGCCCTATGAAGTCTGGTGCTTGTTTCCCCCCTCCCAGTCTTTCCAATCTTTGTTATTTCGTTTGTTTATCTGTAACACAGAAGGGTTTGGGATGATGTACAGGAGACATGGCCTTAATCAGGCAAGTTTTGACTATCCTAGCTCACAGACCAAGGCTGTGCTTAGGCTGTGCCTGTGGCCCGTATCAGGTCAGTATCACTGTAGAAAAATGCAGTCAGCCCCCCCTTCTCTTTCAGTGTGTGGCCTTCACAGGCGAGGGCCTCTGTCAAGGCTATGACTGCAAAACTACATCTGTGCTACTGCTCATCAGGAAACACCATTCCAAATGGGATGCCTTTTGGGTAGCTCCTCCACGCAGACACGCAGACTTTTTCCCTTCTCCTGCAGGCTCTTGCCTCTGCCAACACACTTCCTTGTACAGCGTTTCATGGCTCGGTTGCAGGCTGTTTCTCTGTGCTTACTAACATGTTTGGGCAAACTGTGTTTGGGCCTTGCAGACACCTTCTGGTCAGATCACTCTGGAGCTGCAGAACGGAGTCTCGAGGCCAGAAAGGTCTCGTTAAATCGGGTAGGAGCCAATCTGAGGAGCAGTCAGTGGTAGGATTATTCACCTTGCATAGCCTAACCTCATCCCGCCACGATGGAGCCTCTGCTGTGTGCGAGACAGAGGAAGGAGCTCTACTCGTATTGATCAGTATCATGACCTGTGCTCAGCTGAGAGCGATTCAGAGTGTGGATGCAGGTTGTACTAGTTGCGTTCGCAGGAATAATCCAAGTTACAGCGTGACCATAAACTCCTGCCAAGAAAGGCCCAGGGGAGTTACAGTAGGAAACAGAAGGGGCGGTGAGTTTTCTCTTATGCTCGTGTAAAATTGGAGCAACTTGAACAAAGTCAGAAGCATTTAAAACAGGCGATGCAGGCTCAGGCCTTTTACTGCTGAGTGTAACATGGCAAGATCAGGGCCATGGATATCGGACTGGAGCCCAGCTGCTTATTTAGCAAATGTTTGTGGTTGTGCCTATGGTGCCAGTGATAGTGTGCACACACCCAGGCACTGGGACTGCAAACCTGCTGCGGACTTTGAGCTCCGGAAGGTTCAGCTGGGTGCATCCATAGAGCGGTTACGCAAGGCCAGATCCTGCTGTGTTACAAATCTGGTGTGAAGCAGGGCAGAATGTGGCCCTGAAATTCAATTGATCCAGCATGCAGAAAGATAAACCCCTGCCAAAAACCATAGAATGGTTTGGGTTGGAAGGGACCTTAAAGCTCATCCAGTTCCAACGCCGTGCCATGGGCAGGGACACCTTCCACTGGAGCAGGCTACTCCAAGCCTCATCCAACCTGGCCTTGAACACTGCCAGGGATGGGGCAGCCACAGCTTCTCTGGGCACCCTGTGCCAGGGCCTCAACCACCCTCACGGGGTCTAATGTCTAACCTAAATCTCTTTTCAGCTTAGAGCCATACCTCCTCCTCCTATCACTGAACATGTACAGGTATTACAAATACTCTGGGTGGCTTTTGAGTAGGCTGAAGCCCACTAAACAGGTACCGCTCAGGCCTGAAACAAAAGGAATCTTTTCCTTCTATTTAGTAATTTTTAGTATGACTCTTGTAATTTCAAGAGGTTTGTTTCCTTGAGTGGAAGGACCACGTTTCAGAGCCTTGCTGCTGAAAAGAATCCAGCCGGGGGAAATTCTGGTTTTAATTTCTGCCAGCTCTGGAGCAATTCGTAAGTCACTCGTCAAAAGGCAGTAAATGGTTCATGAATTGCTTTGCAAATCTGGTTCCGGGCTCCCTCTTTACTGCAGGCAATGGGAGGCTGGGAGAGTTTGGATCTCCTCAAAGGAATGGCTGATAGCAGGAGTGGAAGGGAAAGGGGTGCCCATGCCTCCAGAAGTGGCCAAGTCAAAGGGTGGGTTTTAGATGTGATGCCCTTTCCTCCCATTGCAGTGACTTCAGCAGAGTATTATCTGGAATACCAGGCTTGGTGTTTAAAACTCAACTAGATGGGGTCTTTTCAATTGTAATTTTAAGAATCCATAAAATCATCACTTTATCTCTTTCTGTTTTGGCAGATTCACTAGTTTTGGTTTTTTTTCCCCGTTGTGGATTTTTGACAGATACAATTTCCAGGTTAAGGAAATCTTCCCTCTAGAAGTATCTTCCTTTTCCCTTTCAGTTTTCTAGCTGAAAATGGAACTTAATCTTGAACAAGCCCATCAGCTTGATTGATCGCGAATCGTTACAGGCCATTTTGAGCATAATACCTAAACGAGTCGTGATATTAATGAGTAATAATCGCCTTTATGTTAGGTCTTAAAGCTTTATTGTCCCGGAATACAACCGGTTTAGTGGGACATCAAAGGCTGGTAATGATCCGAGATGCCTTTGGGGCTGCAGCCAAAACTGGAAGGTGTTCACATCGCCGGCTGGGATTACAGCCCCTTTCCAAACACCATCATCGGAGGTAACTTAAAATAATCATCTTCTTTCCAGACAGCGCCTGGTGCCGAGCTCTCACTCCCTCCCCCCAAGTCTTCGTGCGCTCCAGCATCTCCGCTTGGCCTCATTTTTGTGCTTCGGTGGTGCCTGCACAGCCCAAATTAGCACCGAGGATCCCGCGGAGGGGGGCGCCGCCTCCCTCGGCTCCCAGGTGAGCTCCCGGGGCGGGGGGCGGCCGGCAGCGCCCCGGCTTTCCTGCATCCCTGCCCGCTCCGCTTGGCCCGACCGGGAGATGGCTGGGGAAGGGGGGGGTATGACCGGTCCGACCCGGGGGCCGGCGCGGCGGGGTCCTGGCCGGGGATCGCAGGGATACTTGTCATATTTGCGGTCGGGGCGCGCTGGCATCCGCCTTTGTGCCGGGGCCGGCGCTCCCCGGGAACCCCCGCGGCCGGGGCACGGGTGGGCAGCGCAGGGAGCCGGGAGGAGGAGGAGCAGCAACAGCGGGGGATGCGGGGGGAGGAAGGCCGGGGCCGAGGCGGGGCTTTAACGCGGGCCGGAGGGCGAGGAGCTCGCCGGAGCCGCCCCTGTCGTCAGTGCTGGCGGCAAGTGCTGGGAGCCGGGGCTGGTGCCTCCTCCCTCTCCTCCTCCTCCTCCATTGTATAATGCTGCGTGATCGCAGCCGCCGGGGCAGAGCGGAGGCTTAAATCCTCACGCCGCCTGCGCCTGCCTCCTCCTCCTTTTCCTCCTTCTTCTCCTCCTCCTCCTCCTCGTTCTCCTCCGCATCCCACCCGGCCCCTCCCCGGAGCGGCGCGGCGAGGGAGCGACATATGGAGCTGCTCTAGGGCGAGAGTTTGCGACCTCCCCTCCCCTCCATGCGTTAGTTCTCAGGTGGAGCTGCATGTGGTGAGTAGAGCTGGGGGGGCGGCAAGGGGGGAGCGGGGGGCCGCGACCTCCACCTCGGCTTTGCGAGTCATCAGGGCTGGTTTTATCTCTACCTTTAAATTCGTGCCCGGGAGGGCGTCCTCCCCCTCTCCTCCGTGCTGAGATGAGCAGAGGAGGGAGAGTTGAGCCTTAAAATACTACATCCCCCTTCCTCCTCCCCCCGCCGATGTGCGGGGATCCCGGGGCTGGAGCAGGTGCGTGCGTGGAGTTGGAATATACTTTTGGTTGGGGCTGGTGTGCCGGCCCCGGTAGTGCGGGCGGTTGTGCTCGGAAGAGCCGTGCTACACCCGGCTCGAAGCCTTACCCCGGTAAGTGAACGTGTGCGCTTCGGAGCCAGGCGCCTGCAGCCGTGTTCTGTTTACCCAGCAAGAGCAGCGGGGGCTTCGGGGTACCCCTAAAAGTGAGTGCTGTGGGGCCGGGAGGGCTAAAAGGGCCTGGGGGAGATTGCGACTCTGGGAGAGCGAAGCTGACATATGGCCCCGCTGGCCGGACCCTTCTAGGGTTGGTGTTGGGGAGGCAGCAGGGCAGGAATTAGCGTGGCTGTGCCCTCCTCCTTGGGAGCAGCGCCAAAACGGAGAAACAGGCGTTTGGGGTGCTTTTAGAAGCAATGGCACCTCCCCACCCCCCGGTTATTGGGGTTTCCTTCAGGATGGGGGAATACTTGGAAAAGGTCCTTTTGCGGTGCCGCTTTCATTTACAGCGTTTGCTGGTTTATTCGTGTCAGTGTGTCAGGATCCGGGAAGGTACGTTCTGTTTAAGCGTGAAAATAGGAGTGCAGTTACCTGCTGTCATTCCTTGCGTTTCGGGAGGCACAGCGGGGAAACCCGGGGCCACTTGCGTTGAAAATCTCGGGAGGGGTCTGCGTGCTGTCCCGCTGGGACCCCTTGGTGGCTGATTTACAGCTACGGGTCAGCTGCCCGTGTAAAAGAAAGCGAATCTGCCCAATTCATCTCCATTGGGGAGGGGGGGGGTGTCAGCCCCTTCACCCCAACTTCAGCGCAGCACACCAGAGCTGATGCGTGTGTCAGTGTGTGTCCAGACAAGCCCAAAGCGCCCGGGATCAGGAAAAGCCCAGGCAGTTTGAGCTAGTGCCCGGTGAAGTCAGCGGGGTGGCTCTCGCTGCCGTCAGTGGGTGCTGGATCTGGCCACCGGAGAACACGCTATTGCTCAAACAATGGTGGTAGAGGGCTTGGCTGCCCCCTAACAACAGTTTTATGCTCGTGTCTCTCGAATGGAATAAACAGTTCTGTTTGTGCGAGTTGAAATTACACTTCCCACCTCTTTATTCTGATTTCTTTTGGGGTATTCAGCTGCATAAATGAAGGTGCCTGTGTCTTACGGGCTTCTCGCAGGGTACGAAATTGACTGAGGCAGCACCTCATTTTCCACCTAAGTGCACGGGAAGCTTTCACGTGGTAAAAAGAACTGTAGGAATTAACTGTGCTTTCATAAAAGTTGCCGCTGCTTGTGCTTAAATTGCTGTGGAAGTGAAGCAGTCGATTAAGCAGGGTAAACTGAAAGTAGCCCTTTCGGCTTGAAGTTAAAATGCATGCGTTTTTTACATAATAAGATGGTATCTTTGGAATCTGCTTTACCATAATGAGCTAGTGGTGGTGGTAGTAGGAGATGGGAGGAGGATTAGCCGTTTGTGCTGCCAGACAGGTATCCCAGAATGTGTCCTAGGGAATCCTTCCATTGTCCAGGCAAGTATTGCAGCATCTAACGTAACAGCTATGGCTCTTCCTCCTTTCGTGACTGATCCTACTTCCATTTAAGTTGGTAGCAAAAACCACCCACTCCTTTCCTGCAGGAACTGGATTGGACTGCTAACGAATGAAGCTAGACTTTGTGCATGTTAAGACGCTGCTTTGATTTTCCTGTCAAGCTGATTTCTTATTCTCTGAAGCTGGTTAAAAACAAACAGAAAGAAACTTGCTAGCCGTAGGTACTTCAGGTTTTGTCTGTGGGAGAAGCAGTCTTAAAAGAACATTAAATGTGTCTGTAGGTGCTGATTTATAAGGGATTGTAATTGTATTCATTTATACACCTGTTCTTTTTAATGGTAAAGATGAAATAAGGAGTTTCTCTGTGTTTTGGTGGATATAATAATGTAAATAATTCAAGCACTTGAATTGTCTGCCTGAGAGGCATTGAGGAGTTTGAAATAACGTCCTAATATCAACGAAAACATCAAATTTCATAGTCTTGTATTTTTTCCTAGCTTCCATGAAGTACAACAGATCTTACGCAATATCTGTTTTGAAGGGGATTTTGCCATCATTTACAGAAGCTGCTTTTATTTTTCCAATAAATAATTCATAGGGAAAAAGAATTTTTTTAGGAACTCTGACTTCTTTTTTTCGCCCTGATGTAAAACACTCCTGGCACAGTTTGTCTCCAGCAGTGCTAACACTAGACAGGTGATCCAAAATACTTGTGACTATTTTTGCTTTTATGTAACATCTTAAAGTGTAATCTGTCAAGCAAGGGGAATGCAGTACTTTGAAAGTGTAAGTAGTCCTCTGCTGATCTACTTTTATAAGGGCTGGGTAGCAGGAGAGACGCTGTCTTTTTACTCTGCTTTGTATGTGTAACCAGTTCGTGAAGAGACAGCTCCAGTTGCAACAGTTCCTTATGACAGGCACCCAAATCAGTGCCAGAAAAGGCAACTCTCAGTTACCAAGTCCAAAGATCAGGAGTGTTCCAAAGGAGAGAGCAAGGTCCAGCTTCAATGCAAGCAGGTTGGCAGTAAGCACAGATCTTCAGTGTAGATGAATCTCCTGCTAATTAATGGTTTGTAGAAAATGGAATTTGCCAATCTCAGAACAGCACTCATTTGCTTCAGGGGGATATAATTGCATGTTTTGTGCCATTGGTTGCATTTCTAAATTCGATCAGTCAGGAGAACTGTGCTGTCAGGAATAAGTGCCTGTTTTCTGTAAATGGAGAGAGACACCCCCCCCATCATGTGTTAGTTCTTTAATTCTTCTCTAAACAAAGTCTTATTTTTTGTGTTTGCTGTAGTGGAGGCTTCAGGTTTGCTCAGCATTACCAGTGCAAACACTATAACAAAAAATAAGATAACAATGCTGACTGTTCACCACAAGTGGGGAAAGAGAGCTCTGTAAATGCAGTGCTCACTTTGCTGCTGGATGAGCTGAAGTCAAGCAAAACAGAATCCAGAAACGTGTGGCAGAGGTTTTGTGGAAGCAACGGGCCTGTGTGTGCTGTGGCTGTACAGCATCCATCACAGCAGGGTCCCTACCCTCAGTCTTGGGGCTGCATGAGAATGAAATGGTGTGTCATTGTGTGGAATAGAAACTGCACAGCGACCTTTGCTGCACTGATGGCTCCTGATGAACGTGTCATTGCAAAGTGGCCACAAGGAGCTGTGAAGAAGCACTAAATCTGCAGTTGGGAGATTCCTCCTGCACAGAGGGGAATTCCTGAGTGGGGAAGAGCTGATTTGAGGGGCATTTCCAGGGGAGAGTTGGGGCAGTCTGCAGGGGCATTGGGTAGCTGGTGGAACAGCCTCATCGGTCTTCAGAAGCAGCTTTACATCGTGATGAGGAGTAAGATGGATTGAAAGGACTGGAGGAGCTGTCACGTCACCAAACAGCAAGTTTTTAGTCCCTTCGTTGAGGGCGGAGACTCTGCAAGCTCAAGTGGGAGAGCAGCCACCACCACATCAGAGTGAGTGTGGATTCAGGCTGCTGCAGTGATATTAAAACCATGCTCAGAGTTCTGCGTTAGGCAAGCTCAGACCATTATTCTTCCAAATAAGGGGCTGGGTTCAGTACGCTGCCTGGTACGTAAAACTATAGGTGTTGCCATATAACATCTGAAGTTCCCAATCTGTATGGCATGATCAGTGTTTTGAGGAGCAGGGGGCTTAAAGAGGAATTTCTTGTTAATACTGCTCTGGAAATGAATTTTAAGTGGTATTGAATGACATGAGTCTCAAGTCTGTGTAATTATTAGCAGCCAAAGCCTGTTTACTTTGTTTTCACACCAGTAAGATGTGTTGGATTTCATCCAACGGCTTCTTTTTCTAGTGAAGTTAGAATAAAAATTGTATTCTTAATAAGGCAGAATACAAAGACTAAAGTGCAAATGTGGGTTGTTTCCTTTAAATGTTATTTTTAAAACTAGGCAGTATATGGGAATAGCAGAAGAAAGAAGTTCCCTTTTCAAAGGAACCCAAAAGTGGTGGAGAGATCTAAACTCACCCTCAAACTTGCTTGGATGATCTGTAACAAATTAGGCTGTTTTCTTGATCCTAGATGTTTCCATCCCCCTGGAAAACCCTTGTGCTGTGTGGGCCATGTGCACCTCTAATGGAAACGTGACAATTATCAGCTGTTTTCACACAGTTTCTTATAGCAGCCCGTAACATTGCTCTTTAAAAGTCTCCTGTCATGCCAGGCAATAAGGTTGAGTGAACTGCGCTATAGAAAGAGCCACCCATGATTGGAGGTAAACTATGCGGATATATGTTGGGGTGGAGGTTGAAAGGAGCGTGGAGGGCATATTTGAAGCAGACTGTGCAACTGCTACAGCAGGTCTGACTAGTTTGAGATGCCTAAAGGCAGCTTTGTCTTAACTTCAGGTAGCTGTGAAATGAAGTTTTAAAACCTAATTCAGAAATACATCATCATCTTCCGGTGCCTCCACAAACTCTTTACTTTTCATGTGTTTTTACAGGCACCGTTTCCCCCTTGGAAGAAGCATTTAATGGATACGTATACACGTGCATGCATATCATTTGCATAGGTTTTAAATACAGGTTTCATCAAGATAGGAGGCTGGCGTTCATGTGCAAACCACAAGGTCTTTTTTTCTTTAAACAGTGGTAACGTTTTGCTTTCTTGTTGCTCTCTGTGTGTGCATGTGAGAGAGAAGCCACTCCATTTAAGCCTTTTTGGCATAGGGTGATTTGTGGCTGGTTGTTCTTGTGCCTT